CCCTTGAATGCATACAGACATTTGCTAAAACTAACCCGTACTAAGTCATGTCAGATTCTGTCTTTTTTTTAATGATTCCATTATAACCAAATGTAAGTATTATGTAGTTCACAACGTAAGATATTTTATTTTCATGGACATGTCAATGTTATTGGTTGGCTTACATCAATATCACCAATAATTACAAACAACTCAACACACAGTTTGGTAATAGATGCAGCAGTTTCAGCGACGTTTTTCTGCTACTCTATTTTAGCACCCAAAAATATTTTTCCTGTGCCACAGCAACTGAATAGTCAAATTTCGCTACTCACATATCATACTAATAAAATTAAATCGCAAGGATGTGTATGAACTAATATATGAGTAAAGTGATCGCTAGTGGCACAACATATTTGATTTATTTCTAACAATCATCTAGTTTGTAAACTAATTAATTATACTATAAATATATTTTCACTAATATGTTAAATATCTCTCATGACAAATTACTGATGCTCCATTTAAGCTGAAAAAATAAGTCATTCACAACGGAAACAAGAATGAGCATGTTTTCGTCCCAGCTGTCAGTTTTCATAAGAACGAATGTAGATTTGTTTGGTGAAGGTGTGCGCCCGACGCACCTTCTCTAAATCCACCACTATAGATAGTTTGACTAATTGTTCTCTTTTAACATGCAATACATCAATCAATGCTATTGGTTCTCGTTGTCATTTGCTTATTTGACGATGATAACACGCAATGTTATCCCTTATATTATAAGTTCCGTCGATGATGTGTGTACAGACCGTAGACTGTAGTGTTAGAACCCAGCACATTGTGACAGTGGATCGTGACTAATGTCACAATCTTTACTTTGTAGTACTAATTGTAATTTTATTAAAATATCGTGGTTGGCCAACAGAGATGATCTGAAATTGCATAAATGTTGTCTTCTAATATCTTGCAGATTTTATCCCAATATGGATTACTTAAGAAATGAGATAATCGTGTTATTGTCTATTGCAATTCAAAACACTCTTCCTAATGGGAAGGATAAGCAATATGGTAACAGACAATATTTGTTCAATGCCCAAGTAGATAATAACAAATAAAGTGTGTTGAATAATTATTGTCACAAGTTTAGGTTATACAATATTCCTTATTCCATGTACTTCCAAGTACTTCCAGATTACTATTATTTTGAGTTAGTGTCGTGTGAACCACCACCGGCACATCAATCCGATAAATAAAATGCAGAAATTGGTGAGCATCATTGATAGCAGTTCTACGGTGTCAAAGAGAGAGAGACTAGCAATTGTTACTTTGCTGGTTGTACGACTTGGCATTCC